TCAATCCCGCTTTCTTTAATTAATTTTTTTATCACTGATTACATTACCTTCACAAGACGTTTTAATGTCTCAAAATTTTTAACACTTTAGAGGTCACTCCATTAAGATCTGGGCCGATGAGTGGGGTTAACACACGGGTTTTTCCCCCGGACACACACCATGGCCCCGCACCAGTCACACCCGGTCAAACATTTTACTAATTTACCCCCTTTTTGGTGGCCCGTAAAATCACTTCCCTCACCTTCACCGGAACGTTATGCCCTTCCAAATTTGAAGGAGGCCCATTTTAAATCCTTAGGCCCCCGTGAACCCCAATTTCCTGGTTCCAGTTTTCCCCAGCCTCTCACTACTTCAAAACACTCCCGCCCCCCCCCGGGCCCCGAGTGACCTCCCCCCCCCCCGCACATCCGCGCATGTGCAAGGGAACTTTGGTTTATCCTATTGTCAAATATATTTTTGAAAAATATCGACACTTTAAACACTTTTAGGCACTATAGTTTCGGAAAATTTAAAAAATTTTTTCCACACTGCGGCCGGGCGGAGGTCTTTTGCTTAGGACTACATAAGTGGGTAAAATTTTTTCCCATTTCGGGGCCACCTGGTTTGGGGAACTCCAACTTGGTATTACATAATCCCCCATTAATTCTTTCCCCCTGTTAATCCTCAGGTTTGGACCATCCCAAACACACTCAAACCTCCTGCTTTGGTATTAAAAAATTTCCCTTTATTGTAAGGTGTGACACTAAGCCCATGCTCTGGGGTTAATTTTTTGGGCATACGGAAAATTAGAGACTTTAAAAAATAACAAGTCTCTCTCAGTATCCAAATCAGCCCCAAACATTACTGCTATAGGCACTTCAATCCATGGGCCTCCATATTATTTATCCCCCAAAATGGGCTAATTAGGTTTCCATTTCTCAGGGGCAAAAACCCATGCTCCCTGGATTAATTTATTGGGCATACTGGGAAAATGGACTTTTAAAAATAACAAGTCTCTCTCAGTATCCCAAATCAGCCCAGCACATTACTCATTATTTCATTTAACCCCTTCACATATCCTCATTGTTCCTCTTTGTTGAGTCACACCCCGGGAAAATTTTCCAATAAGATTATTTACCCAATTATTCGTTTTAGGGGACCACCTTGCACTTAAGGTGTGCATTTATCGTGCCTGAAATAAGAAAATTTATTATTTTAACTGTTTATTTAAATTTTATCATTATAAAAGCAATAATTTTGGTGTCTTGTCAGTTCGCAGGTGGGCCCCAACTGTCCATACGCCTCCTATAATTAGTTGGTAATTCTGGCGGTCGGGGTTCCACGGAAATCGCACCCCTAAAAGTCCAGATTCACATTTAAAAATCCTTTAGGATTGTTCCCCGAGTAAAGGAAACTTTGGGTTTCCTTTTATATTAATCCCATGCTGCCACTCCCACAAATAAATGGTTTTTAACATTATTCTCGATAGAAGAAAAGTTTTTCTGGGTTTTCCTTTTTTAGTAAACCCGGACGTATTTACCTTTTAGTCATTTTTTCAGGCGGTAGTCTGCCCTTTTTTTACATGGCCCTACCAGTGTTGAGGGGGACCGCATGCTTTTGGATTTATGCCCTTTCCTGAATTATTCATCCAACGCGGCAAGGTACCCCAGCTAGGGGCCCTCTTATTTCCCTTAGCGCACCCTTTTTCAGTCACTGTATGTCGGGTTATTAGCATTATCATTATTGTCACCATTATTATAAGAAACCCATACAACCCTGCACTAAATGTTGTGCCTTCCCTTGTTGCATTGATAGCAACTGTTTTAATTTTGGGATGACAATCCTTTACATTTTGATTGCTAAATCTGATAAAAACTTTTAAGTTCTTTTCATTCTTTCCACTTTAAATCCCATGAATTATAGGCATTACAAATTTTTAGTGAAATGGGGCCCTTGCAGAAGAGGCAGTCTCTCTTTTCCTTGCCTGACCTCTTATTAAATGGGGTTTCCCCTTTCGAGGTACTTATTTCCCCTTACCCTTTATGTGAGGACCACTATTTCTATTTTTGCTTTTTGGCCTATTTTAAATCTTAACTTGATTATTTTCACTGGGGGTTATTTTTTCCCTTTTTTCGACCCTTGACAGATACTTCAGAGTCATTATGTGTTATATCCTTTGAACTTTTGGTGATGGCTGCAATTTAACAATTAATTCCTGCCCACCTTTGTCTGATTTCCTCCCGACCGTACCTGGAGGTTTTGGGAAACCCCCCCTTTGCATTAAAAGGGTTTACCAACTGCCTGGCTACACCCCTTTTAAATTTATTAAAGCCTTACTTTTACAAGCAGTTTTTTTCCAATTCGTAATGTTATTTAAAAAAAAATTCATTTCCATTCCCTCTGCACAATTTCCGCAGATCTCTTTCACAGTCTTTAAACCACAAATTTTTTACCAATCAAAAATACTCTCAAAACATCTAAATAAACTTTTTTTTCATTGGGTTCACAGTTCTTTTATTCATAAATCAAAGCCCTTTGTCACATGGCTTTTAATAGCCCGTAAAGATGTTTCATTACTCTAAAATTCACGGACTTGTCGCCACATTTAAATCCATTAGTCCATCATGGTTAGAGAATTATTAAGTCTGATTATACAACTTAAAATAGGTGCCCTTTTAGAGTAATTTTTGCACTTTTACTCTTGTTAAATCCTGCCCCACTGTGCAGCAATTAAATTTGGGCAATTATCATCCCCCCCACGATCGAATTTAAAATTGTGTACCCATACCCCCTTCCTTCAATAGTCCTAATTATTTAAATAATTAATTTAATTAATTTTTTTACTGATTGCATCCCGGTTAGGAAGGACCCCCGGGGGCAGATAAGGGAAAATTTTATAGGGGTGATTCCCCCTATGTACCCCAACATTTTAAAACATACAAGTAATCTCTTTGGGACAACCATATTGTTTACCGTAGTCACCCCGGTTTGAATGTGGAAAACTTACCACCCCCGGTCACGGAGGTGGTTCCTTCGACCTCACAATCTTATCCATATCTATCCCCAGACCAGTTGGATTGGCTCACCCCCAATTTCGGTACTACTAATTAATTGTGGACGTATAGATTATATTAGTTTAACTGAATGAAGGGGGGGGGGGGTAGGTTACACATATATATCCATCAAGGAAAAAACTTGTACATAATTCACCACTTTCCAGATATTCTCTGGGGGTCCTTGATGTATGGATCACCCCTAAAAACCCATCCAATTACAAATACCCAAATGGCCCGTATCAGTTTGCATAATAAAGGGTTACTTAACTGTGGATGATTTACTCCCTTTTTCCCCCCTTCCCATCTCATTTCGATGTCCTGCTACACCCACAAGGTTTTTATTCCGCAGGACGAGGGATCCGTGGTTTTTCCCGGGTTTAGAAGTCGTGATTCCCTAAAAATTTACTATCCCGGTACGAGAATCACGGTTTTTATCGGGGCAGGGCGATCTATTTACATTCCCGCATTCTTTAAAAAATGTTATTTCCCCTAATTACATTTCCATTCACAAGACGATTTAACGTCTCAAATTATTATACAATTTAAAGGGCACCCCCATTAAGATCTGAGGGATGAGTGAGGTTAACCACAGGTTTTCCCCCGTACATACCCGGCGCGCACCCCGTCACACCCGGTCGAACCCTTATTCACTAATTTTACCACCTTTTTTGGTGGTCCCCTAAATCAGTTCCTCACTCTTCACCAGGAACAGTTACGACACTTCTTATTATGAAGTGAGGCCCATATTAATCCTTACACCGCCGTGAATGCCAATTTCCTGGTTCCATGCTTTCCCAGCCTCCTCACTATATTCAAAACGCTCCCGCCTCCCCCATGGCCCGAGTCGACCTCTCCCCCCACACATCCGCGCATGCGCAAAGGGAACTCTTGGTTCTATCCTATTGTCAAATATATTTTTGACTCATATCGACACATTAAACACCTATTAGGCACTATAGTTTCGGAAAATTAAACATTTTCCACACCACACCTAGTCAAGCACGTCAAGAAAATAGAGAAAGTGCAAAGGTTTGCAACAAGACTAGTCCCAGAGAAGAAAGGTAAAGGGAAATCGGCCTGACGACACTGGAGGACAGGAGGGTCAGGGGAGACATGATAACGACATAAAATACTGCGCGGAATAGACAAGGTGGACAAAGACGGGATGTTCCAGAGAAGGGACACAGACACAAGAGGTCACAATTGGAAGTTGAAGACTCAGATGAATCAAAGGGATGTTAGGAAGTATTTCTTTAGTCATAGAGTAGTCAGGCCGTGGAATAGCCTAGAAAGTGACGTAGTGGAGGCGGGAACCATACGTAGTTTTAAGGCGAGGTATGATAGAGCTCATGGGGCACGGAGAGAGAGGACCTAATAGCAATCAGCGATGAGGCGGGGCCAGGAGCTGTGAATCGACCCCTGCAACCACAAATAGGTGAGTACAAATAGGTGAGTACACACACACACACACACACACACACACACACACACACATAAAATTCTAACGCTGTCCCCCCTAAAATCATTGTTTCCTTTAATTTAGAATTTTAATAGAAAATGAGTAAAATTATAGCAAACTTAAATAATTTAATTTTACGATAAATGCTCAAGTGAACGTGGTTGAGTTTCAGCTCCATAGTCTTCTAATACACACCTCTTAGTGTTCTATATACACTGAGAGCTGTATATCTCAGTGTATATACACTGAGAGGTATATATCTCTCAGTGAATATATACTAAGAGGTGCTTATTTCTCAGTGCATGTACACTGAGATATGTATATATATCAGTGCATGTACATTGAAGGTGTATATATCTCAGTATATATACACTGAGAGGTGTGTATCTCTTAGTTTATATACACTGGGATATGTGTACATCTCAGTATCAACGTGACAGTCAACACAACGAAGGTTCACAACAACACTGATGTCGTCCCACTCAAGACAGTGTTGCACATTACAGGTGAAGGTGCTCTACATCCGCAACCTGTCCCTCAGCACCACTGAAGATGACATCAGAAGTCTCTGCAACAGTAGCAATGGTGTGGAGCGCGTCAAGAAGCAGAAGGACTATGCTTTCGTACACTTCTCCAGCAGAGAGCAAGCTGAAGTGGTCAAGGCTTCACTGAACGGTGAGCTGAGTTATTGAACCTCTGATTACAGTAGAGGGAGAGGAGCTCTCTCAAGCTCTGCAAGTGATGTTGAGCTGGAGAATGTGTTAGAAGGGAGAGAGAGAGAGAGAGAGAGAGAGAGAGAGAGAGAGAGAGAGAGAGAGAGAGAGAGAGAGAGAGAGAGAGAGAAGTTCACTTGCCTTTATTGATAAATAAGACACATGTTTAACACTTGGGTATCTTTATTGATAAATAAGACATGAGCAACACCTGAATATTTTTTACTAATGTATAAGACACATGTTCATTACTTGGGTATCTTCAGTGATGAATAAGACACATGTACAACACTTGGTATCATTAGTGATGAATAAAACACATGTACAATATCTGTGTATAATTACTGATGAATAAGACATATGTGCATCACTTAGGTATCTTCAGTGATGAATTAGACTGTTGGTAATTAACAGATTCCGTTGTTTGGTGCTAATTATTTCAACTAATTGATGTTGTCTGGTCGTACAGGTCGCGTTGTTCACGGCTGTGGTTGAAAATTTTCCAAATTGAAGAAAAAGGTTTTAAAAAAAACCCGGGGGTCC